AAGAGGGGCAGGTGTTCCCACTCAACATTCATCTTATTTACACACCCAACACGCTCAATGTGCTCTTTATGATCTCTCCTTAATTAATGATGCCAGCATCTGCAGCACTTACGATGGAGGTGGATAATGTGAGGTGGTGGTTGTGGTAGTAGCAGGTGTGGTGGTGGTAGTAGTAGGTGTGGTGGTGGTAGTAGCAGGTGTGGTGGTGGTAGTAGTAGGTGTGGTGGTAGTAGTAGGTGTGGTGGTGGTAGTAGAGGGTGGTGGTGGATAGTAGTAGTGTGGTGGTGGTAGTAGTAGGGTGGTGGTGGTAGTAGCAGGTGTGGTGGTGGTAGTAGTAGGTGTGGTGGTGGTAGTAGCAGGTGTGGTGGTGGTAGTAGGTGTGGTGGTGGTAGTAGTAGGTGTGGTGGTGGTAGTAGTAGGTGTGGTGGTGGTAGTAGTAGGTGTGGTGGTGGTAGTAGTAGGTGTGGTGGTGGTAGTAGCAGGTGTGGTGGTGGTAGTAGTAGGTGTGGTGGTGTAGTAGCAGGTGTGGTGGTGTAGTAGAGGTGTGGTGGTGGTAGTAGTAGGTGTGGTGGTGGTAGTAGTAGGTGTGGTGGTGGTAGTAGGTGTGGTGGTGGTAGTAGTAGGTGTGGTGGTGGTAGTAGCAGGTGTGGTGGGGTGGTGTAGTAGGTGTGGTGGTGGTAGTAGTAGGTGTGGTGGTGGTAGTAGCAGGTGTGGTGGTGTAGTAGGTGTGGTGGTGGTAGTAGTAGGTGTGGTGGTGGTAGTAGTAGGTGTGGTGGTGGTAGTAGTAGGTGTTGGTGTAAGGTTGGTTAGTAGTAGGTGTGGTGGTGGTAGTAGTAGGTGTGGGGTGTGTGTGTTGGTGTGTAGTAGTAGGGTGGTGGTGGTGTAGTAGGTGTGGTGGTGGTAGTAGTAGGTGTGGGTGGTGGTAGTAGTAGGTGTGGTGGTGGTAGTAGTAGGTGTGGTGGTGGTAGTAGCAGGTGTGGTGGTGGTGGTAGAGTGTGGTGTGGTAGTTGTGGTGGTGGTAGTAGTAGGTGTGGTGGTGGTAGTAGTAGTGTGGTGGTGGTAGTAGTAGGGTGTGGTGGTGGTAGTAGCAGGTGTGGTGGTGGTAGGTGTGGTTGTGGTGGTGGTAGTTGCAGGTGTGGTGGTGGTAGTAGTAGGTGTGGTGGTGGTAGTAGTAGGTGTGGTTGTAGTAGTAGTAGGTGTGGTGGTGGTAGTAGTAGGTGGTGGTGGTAGTAGCAGGTGTGGTGGTGGTAGGTGTGGTTGTGGTGGTGGTAGGTGTGGTGGTAGTAGGTGTGGTGGTGGTGGTTGTAGGTATCTTCAATAGGCAAACTGGTATCTACAAAGCTTAATATCAATACAAACCTTTCACTAGATAAGCCATACCATCGGTTATGGTTTGAAGCGGATCAGAGATGACATTTTTCAGTTACTGGCCAGAAATTAATTTTTTTAATAAAACTTGCTGATTAACACATACACAATCCAACATCGCCGGAAAGCTTTCTTTGCGAAACACACACCAGTGCTGATAGTTTAAACCCAATAAGAAGAGGCATCCTTCAGATATGGTTATAATCATAACCGTAACTTTTAAAGGGGTAGACCGGTAAGCCAGTGGAAGGCCTCGGTCAAATGACCAAAAGCTCCAGCTGCGGGTCATCATATGACTTAAAACTCGCGTCAGGAAACACCTGATCCGTTTCCTAACAGACCTTAAATCATCTTCAGTTGTTGCTATGAATCCATAAATTTAAAATTATGTCAAGTTGTTAAACTTACACACCATAAAGCAATAAGATATAATGCTTCTCGTAAAATACATCAGCCATTAAAGATTGAAAACATTCATATTTCAAAGAAAAAATACATCACACCATTTTATGCCTATAACAGTATAAATCTTCTAAGTAGGACATACCAGTGAGGAAAGTATATGGAGCATCACAGTAGGCCTTTCAAATTGTTGCACAGAAACCATATTAGTAATGGCTATATAAAAAATGACAAAAGGGCATCTGCTTACCCCAATAGTTCCGAGAATCATTTCCTAAACGCTGAAAATCTGAAGCAGATAGCTATAAAAGAAAACCTTCGAGAAAAAAATAATGAAATTGTACCTGAGTATATGACCGGCTCTACAAGAAACCCGAAAAAAATATAATATTTAAAGGCTCACTAAACTCATGAAATTAAAAAAAAAAAAAGATTTTGCACTATTTCTCATTAATATTCTATCTCACTTTTTCTATAATCCTGTAAGGAAAAACAATATATATTTTTTGAAAATTATAATCTGCATTCTTTTACGACCTTGCCATCATACCCTGAACTTACGAGGCCTTTACCATCCTTCAGCCTCTGCTTCCTTGACCTTACATGTCTTCCTCCTTCTTCATCAACCTTACCTTCCCTAATCCTTCAATTACATACCTTTCAACTGTCTTTAACGCAACCATTACCACCTTATCCTCCTATAATCTCATTACCTCCCTCCAAGTTAATGAGCTCTTCAGTGATCTTGGAAGGTAGGTAAAGTATCTGCTTTGATAAGTAGCCCAAGTTGATGATGGTGGGGGTAGTGGTGGGGGTAGTGGTGGTGGTGGTGGTGGTGGTGGTGGTGGTGGTGGTGGTGGTGGTAGTACTGGTGGTAGTAGTGGTGGCTGTGATGGCAGTAATAGCGGTCGCGGCAGTAGTAGTACTAGTGGTGGTGGCAGTGGTGGCATTGGTGGTTGGGGTGTTTTTGGCAGTAGCAGTTGTGGTAGTGGTGACAGTAGTACTAGCAGAGGTGGTGGTGGCAGTAGTGGTATCCCCCAACCATGCGGCTTGCAGGGGTACCACAGCAACATGTAAACAACACCGTGTCAACATATGTAGTCAGAGAATCTTCCACCTGCTACCAGCAGATATCAGAAATATTGCTACAACAAAGTTTTAGAGTCAAGTGGATCACTAATTGGTGAAAAAGCCTAATCTAGCAGGTTGTGATGACTATGTAGGCCTCTGTGCCACCACCGTGTTAGCAGCGCCTACTGGACCAGGCCCTCAACAAGGAAGTCTGACCTCGGTGCCAAGCATGTCGCCATTTATCTAATTAGAATCTTGCATTAAATATTCATTATATCCTTCCGTGATGGAGGTGATTCTTCAGAAAATTAAAAACGACGGCATAAAATTAACATCCTATTATTATTCATTGGAAATTTTATTCTATTAGAAACTCAAGCTGGGACGTCCAAGACTCACTGAGCCATTAAACTGAATTTCAAATTATTTATTAGTAAAGTGTTTAATCATTGTATATAAATATAGATAATATATACTGCATTACATACAGGTAAATGGCACATACCTATATAAGCATATAACGATACGCTTTATACCTATATATAACTATTATTAATACATACAACTAATCAGTCTTCTTGATGACACAAATCTTAAGGGCAGAAATTTTAAATGAAAGCTTCACAATGTTTGTGGGTGGTGGACAACAAGCACAGGACGGGTAGGAACACGGTGAGTCAGTAACGTCATGTTAGTGGGTGATGAGGTGGTCAAGGTTAGGTCATGACACGAAAAAGGTGCACAAGTTTGACTGAACTTCAAGAACAGTCAAGCAGCAACTTTCCACCAACTTGTTTCAAAGATGGAAAGTGACAATATCTCACCGAGTTATGATTACGGCTCATGATTAGAAGCAAAGCTTTTCTATCACAACCCGTCCCCATCCTTGCATTTTAAGCTAATTTAATTTATATTACGTGTCCCTGGATCTAATGTTCTAGTGAATGTGCTTCCTCACAACTGAGTAAGTTTTGGGGACATTTTTAAATGGTAACTTAGTCCCATCCTCTTAGTCATTTATACCGAGTCTTTTACCTTAAATTATCATACAAATACTGCTGTTTAAACTTAACTGAGAAGTGAACTAAGCAACTGATATTTGGATAAGTTATCTTACTAAATATACGAAACAATGTTTAACTGAAAAAACGAACTGTCTAAATTTGATAAAAGTAGCTGTCCTCGAGGTATTTTTAGAAGACAAACAAAGCCATCCGATATTTAAAAAAAAAATAGTGGGTATGTATAATTCTCATAATGGCCTAACTTTAATTAACTAGTAGCAGTGTATTAGTGCTATTTTGTAACATGTGAAACATGTTGAAGGCAGGTATTGTGTTGTATATATTGTTATGCGTACTATATGTATATTTTTTCTAATCATTTGAAACGAAGCTGTCTCGTTCTACCTGACGTATGTGGCCTGTTTAAGTAATTCCGTCACTGTTGGTTAATTATATGTTAATTTACATTAAGTTAATCTAACAAGCAATAAATATTTATTACATTCTTGCCGATATTTTGATCAGGAATAAATCAAGGAACTAATGAGTGCAAAGGGAGGGAAGCATCAGGTGTGGCAAGCCTCACTTTCAGAATGGAAACTTAACATATCTTCGATTTCAAGATATATTTAAACTACACACAATAACTAAAACTAATTTAGAGAAATAATAATACCGCTTAAAAGTTAACAGACGCACACCGAGTCACAGTATAACTACGCTCTCCTAGACTTGCATACACACATTTGAACTTGCCCGTTAACAGTGTAATAATGATGACAAGTAAATAACTGTTGACCACTGATATGAAAGCCTGGCTTTTTCTTTGTTTCTTAAAATTCTATTGTATATAAATGTTAGGAATAAAGTCTTTCACATTTTTTGTTTTATAAGACTTCGCTATACAGTATCTGCTACTAAACACAGATCATAAAAACATTAAGTAAATATTTAAAACTTGATCATACTGAAAGAAACAAACGCGCTACGGCTTAGCATCTGACCTAGATTTTCCTGAATGGGATGACGGGCGTTTTCTACACTGCAGGAAAACCTAGTGTAGTTCTACCTGCGTGAAGGTTGTGTCAGCTTACCTCAGCATGTAGAGTATTTGGCCGTTGTAGTTCTACCTGTGTGAAGGTTGTGTCAGCTTACCTCAGCATGTAGAGTATCTGGCCGTTCGGGTTGATCCTGACCAGGACGTTGGGAACAGTGACGAACTGGAACTCCGCCAGCTTAGCGTTGGGGAAGTATACTTCAGGCTTCCAAATAGCCTTCACCAGGTTGGGGTCGTTGAGATCCAGCGGATTGGTGATATCTGGGTGACGGAGGCGCTCATCTTCCCACTCCTGACGCAGGTACAGATCCACCTGGTAGTCCTGCGGAATATCACTTACGTTAGAAGTTGACAAGTGTCTCTGTCTTGCTTAGCAAGAGACTAATAAAAATTTGTTTGTGCTTGCAGAGATAAAGTCAATGGTGGTAAAGTTGCGAACGGGAGACAGCTCTCTGCAAAGATCAAAGGTGTGGAAGGTATTTCTCGTTCAAGGGCGCGCGTGGGCGGGGATGGGCGTGGAAATTATATAAGCGTGGTGATCCTGTTGACGGGCGGGGAGATGTTATACTTTGTAGGGTAATATGACAAGGGACGAGATGAGACACGGGAAATATTGTACAGTTATAGGTAATGGGGTGTTGATGGTAAGAATGATGGGGAAGCGATGGTGGTGATGGTGGTGGCGGTGGTGGCGGCGGCGGCGGCGGCGGGGGGTGGTGGTGGGGTGGTGGTGGTGGTGGTGGTGGTGGTGTGGTGGTGGTGGTGGTGGCGGTGGGTGGCGGTGGTGGTGGCGGAGGTGGGTTATTGTTGTTATTGGTGGTGGTGTTGTTGTTGGTGGTGGTGTTGGTGTGGGGGGGGGGGGTAGTGTTGGCTTAGAAATGGTGGAGGCTTGATTTTCCATCCAGTAATCGCGAGACAGTAATGGTCCTCTGACAGAAGGGCAAGATCAAAAGGAGCAAGAGGAAGAGGGGCATCACGAAGAGAAAGAAGAGGAAGAGAAAAAGGAGGAGGAGGAGGAGGAGGAAAAATAATATAACAAAAGCGAGCACAGTATTTTCATGCCCTATTTACTCACCTAACCGCACTATAAGTCGTGAAAAATCACCTGCAAGGGCACAATACGTACAAATCTGAACGTAGTGCGAAGCCTAACAGCCTTTATCGTTAATATTATTGAAGGAATCGCATGTCCTTCGACGAATTATTTATTTTCAATACAATCGTTTCTTGTTTTGGAAAGCAAAACAAGAAACAGCACACCTTTACTGCATTAAAACTTCATCTGTCAGACTTAAGAGATCTCAACGCCATCTTCAGGTGATTTATAGTTACAAACGTTAAGGTATTACGCGAAGTCGTGTGTGGTCTTGACGATCAGAACTTCTGTGGTGTTCTTGACCACCAAGATTATTGTGATCTTGACAAGGACTACTATGGTCTTGACGACCAGGACTACTGTGGTCTTGACCTTGGCTACTGTGGTCTTGACCAGGGCTACTGTGGTCTTGAACACCAGGATTACTATGGTCTTGACCTTGGCTACTGTGGTCTTGACCTTGGCTACTGTGGTCTTGACCATCAGGATTACTATGGTCTTGACCAGGGCTACTGTGGTCTTGACCACAAGGACTACTTTGGTCTTGACCTTGGTTATTGTGGTCTTAACCACCAGGACTACTGTGGTCTTGACCACCAGGGCTACTGTGGTCTTAACCACCAGAACTACTGTGGTCTTGACCACCAGGACTACTGTGGTCTTGACCTTGGCAACTGTGGTCTTGGCCAGGGCTACCTGTGGTACTGACCACCAAAACTATTGTGGTCTTGACGACCTGGACTACTGTGGCCTTAACGACCTGGACTACTGTGGTCTTGACGACCTGGACTACTGTGGCCTTGACCTGGACTGCTGCATCTCAAAGATAATAGCTCTCCATCTCACTTCCTGAAGAAAGCCACGAGAAAGAAGCAGTTCTCATTTCGCTTTACAGTTTTCTTTGCAAAAAGATTATGTCAAGGAGTTTGACGGACCCAGGCCTTTCCAGGCCTCTCTTTTCCCCAGAGTTTTTTTTATTTTTCATTCCTCTCTGAAGACCGTTTAAAAAAAATTGGTGGATTTTAAAATTTAAAACCTTTGCCCTTCTCGGACTCAATCTTTAATTCCTTTTGTGTTCCAATCATTTATCAGAATAGATACCACTATAATCGGGTACTAGGGCCAATTTATAATAAAAACAATTTTCTATATGGCTGTTTTTTTGGTTACTGATTATATTTTTTATAATAAAAAAGAAGCGCTAAACCACAAGGGCTTACAGCGCCTTGGACTGATGACCTTGATTCCTTAGCCTAGACGGAAAATTGCAGACGCTTTTGGGTTTCGGGTTAAAATGGTGGAAACTGAAAAATGCTTCCAATTTTTTTGTATGAACCTGAAATGTCTTTCCTTGGAGAACAAAGTTTGTTTGGGACTTACAATGGATTTCGTTTGTGTTGGAAATACGAACGCCTACGGGTTTTTTAATATTTGGTTCAAATTGCTACATTTTTTATATGGTTTACTTTCACGACAATCGCCCAGCTATTTGGGATTTTCCGCATAAAAAAAAGAATACCAAGCAGGAAATCAGTCCCTACTTGGGCCCCCCCTGTAGTGTAGGGGCACAGAAGCACAGCAAATTTTGTACGCAAAAAAGGGTTTGCGTAAAGAAGATTTGACCGAAAAGTTTAAATAACTCTAGCGACAAAAGGCATGAAATACCCAGCCCCACGCGGAAACCTTACAAGCTACAGATGTGTGAAATTAAAATAATTTGCTTATAATAAATTTTACGATCTTCCATACTGTATTACTGAATAGATAAAACAATGGGGTGTTAGGTTTTCTGAGAGAAGTTTATAAAAAGTACGGCCTAAGGGGGGAATTCTGCCGGGAAAAAATTTCCTATTGGGGGCCCTCGTGGTAAACAATTTCATCAGTGTTTTGGATAATTTTGTTTAAAAAAATGGAAGATGCGGACTTGGGATCGGGCAGTACTGAAGTGCCTATTACGTTGACGGAACCCCGTAGGTCTAGAGCGTTGAGGGGAAAATTGGTGGGGGTGGTCAGGGTTTCAAAGTATTAAAAGGGGGTAAAGGAGGCGTCTATGTAAAATCCTATCCTTGTTTAAAAAGGGGACAACTGCAGCACACTTTTGACAATGTTCATTGCTGAAACACAGAAAACAGTAGTTTTATCATGAGGCAGTGTTTTAAACGTACTCGGGCAATTTTATTTCAAAATAATTTTAATAATTTTTTTTTAACAAAAATATTTACTTGCTGCCGCACATGTGTATATTAAAATTTGTGTAATTTTTGGTGAGGACCTTGGGGAGGTAAGTGTATGTGTTGTGTTGTGTGTGTGTGTGGTTTGTGTGGTGGTTGTGTTTGGTTTGGGGGTTGTGTGTGTGGTTGTGTGGGGTGGGGTGTGTGTGTGTGTGTGTGTGTGGGGGTGTGTGTGTGTTGTGTGTGTGTGTGTGTTGTTTTTGTGGATGTGTGTGTGGGTGTGTGTGTGGTGGTGTGTTGTGGTGTGTGTATGTGTTTTTGTTTTGTTTTTTTTGTGTGTGTGATGTTTGCGTGGTGTTTGGTGTGTGTTGTTGTGTTTTGTGTTGGGGTGTGTGTGTGTGTGTGTGGTGTGTGTGTGTGTGTTGTGTGTTTGTTTGTGTGTGGCATAGGTGTGTGTGTGGTGTGTGATGTTTTTGCGTTTTGTGTTTTTTTTGTGTGGTGTGTTTTGTGTGGGGTGTGTTTTTGTGTGTTGGGTGTGTGTGTGTGTTGTGTGTGTGGGGGTGTGTGTGTTGTGTGTAGGGGTGTGTGTGTGTGGTTGTGTTGGGTGTGTGTGTGTTTTGTGTGATTTTGCGTGCGGGGGTTTTGTTTGGTGATGTTTGCGTGTTTTTTTTCCCTTTATTTGTACTCAACAATTTGGGTTGCAGGGTCGGGGTTCATAGCTTTGGCCCCCCCTTTTCCCACTGATTGCTACTAGGTCCTCTTTTCTCCCTGCCCCAGGGAGCTTTATCAACCTCGCTTTAAAAACTATGTTTTTCCCCGCCCCACTACTACACTTCTAGGCTATTCCACGGCCTAAAACTACTCTATACTGAAAAAAAATACTTCTAAAATCCCTTTTTTTCCATCTGAGCCCTTAAACCCTTCCCAAATTGTGACCTCGGGTGTCCGTGCCCCTTTCTCGGGGAACATCCCGTCTTTGTCCACCTCGTCTTTTCCCGCGCAGTATTTTTTTATGCCCGTTATCAGGTTCCCCTGCCCCTCCTGGCCCCCAGTGTCGTCAGGCCGTTTTCCCCTCAACCTTTCTTCGAAGGACAATCCCGTAGCTTGGGTTAGTCGGGTTGCAAACCTTTCCCACTTTTTTCAAAATTTTTTTACGTGCTTGACTGGGTTTGTGGATTCCAAACGGGGTGCTGCGGTACTCCGGGAAGGGGCCGGGAAACGTAAATGGAACACAAAGTCTTGAACGACCCCTTACTGAGGTATGGGAAAACGCTATCCGTGGGTTTTTGCCGGGCGCCCGTATGCTGCAGCATTTATTGATTGATGTGCCCCCCAGGAGATTCCCGGGGGTGTTTTTCCCCCCCCGATTTTTTTTCCTTGAGTGGGGTTTTTTGGGCGACTTTGGCCATCTAAACAATTGTGTCTGGGGGTCTTCTTTGCCCTCCCCAATCTTCATGACTTTGCATTTGGGGGGGTTTTAAACCCAAGGAGCCATTGCGGGACCAGGGTTTTGTAGCCTCCCAGGTTCTTTGTAGCCCTGCCTGTTCCTATCTGATTTGATTCTTCTCATTAATTTCACATCGCCCGCAAACAAGGCCCATTTTGAGTCAAATCCCTTCCGTTTTGTCTTTCACAATACCAAAAACGCACATCCTGGGACTGCCCCCGGGGAACCCCGCGTCAAGGGCCCCATTTTGAAACCTCTTAGTACCAGGGACTCTTTTTGGGCCTCCCTGAAAGGTATTCTCTTATCCTTTGAAAGTCCCTTTTCCCTGTTTGTGTGCCTAAATCCTCCAATTTTTGAAATTAACCTCTTGGGGGAAACTGTGTCGAAGGCCTTCTTGCAGCCCAAAAAAAAATGCGTTTTTCCACCCCTCTCTCTCTTGTCTTACTTCTGTCCCTTGTCAAAAAAAATCTAATAGGTTTGTGAAACAGGATTTTCCCCCTAAAACCCAAGGCGGGTTTTGTCAATTAACATTTTTTCTTTCCGGGTTGCCCCCACCACCCCTCCTAAATGTTCTTCCCCACGACCTTGCTTTCTATACATTGTGATAC